GAAACCCAGACAAGGGCCATTGAGGCGCCTGTGTAGATCGATGAGCTCCAAGTCAAACAAGACATCCAAGCTCGGATATACACACCAACGTATCCGCAGGCCATTAGGAACAGGGATACATATCGTGCCGCAGTATTTTGAGTAGAGAGAGAGATAACAAATCCGATACAAACTCCCCACCACCACATGCTTTGATGGAAATATCTCTCCCCAGTTCGATCTGACTCAAGGTTCGAGAAAATATCACTGAACAAGGAGGAGACATACCGGCATGCCACGCATTTAGGCAACACGCAATGGTCGCCAAGATCCATGGGGGTCTAAGTGAATTCAATGTATTTAGCAAATGAACAAGGACACGCCAGAGTATGCATTACGCGACAAGCAACAGTGTGACTGAAGTACTGAACCCGAGCGTGGCAGTTAATCTCATTGATAAGGTCAGATACGAGAGATGTAGTGAGGTGAACTATAAACTCACGTAGGGAAGAAAGCTATAGCACTCAGACCGAGCAGTTGTGCAGTATTCATAACTGAGAAAATCCAAACTTTGGGATCCTTTATGGCCATGATAAGACCTTGGAGAGGGCTACAACTCGAAATCAGCATCGGATAGTTCGCAGAGTCGCGACTTACGAATCGCAATCAGTGTCTTGATCAGCTTCACCTGCATCGCCTGCAAGCCGTGCTTGAGCTAGTCGACGCTCTTGAGAAGATACCCATCGTGTGTTCACAGGCTTCGTGTACAGATATTAAGAATAGTGGGTATGGTGAACTCGAACAAGGAGGTTCCACATACATAGTTTGGCAGCAACCACCTTTGTTGGGGTATTAGAGAAGCGTAAAACTAATGGAAAAGTCAATCCACGAACACTGTATTTAAGCCTATAAACATTGTTATCGCTCCCTGTATGTTTACAGCAGTTGTCAAATACTATTTCCGAGTCAAAACATCACATACCTCGATGAAGAACAGCCTAGAGAGTGACGATAAGCTCCAAAGTTTGAACTCTGTCATAAAATATGGAGAACGCACCATCTCCACGATTCGATACCGAGTGTACCCTGCATATTAGAAAGAATTCCAGCGGCTATCAGCTAAAGAAGGCAGGAGATAAAATCTGATTAATGACTTGAATGTTGGATGAGGTCCTACCGAGCCGAACGCATTTGAGATGAGAAGACCACTATAAAGGATAGCTGATCTGAAAGCCAGCTCCTAAGAGAGCATTCAGTCTCAAATCAACATATTTCCTGAATCCGAACCTTTTTGGTGTACCAGCGTGATAAGAGGTATACGGCTATATCTTGACATCAGGAAGGTGGTCGAGCAGAACTTTGTAGAGCTTACTGCCGGGGTAGAATGCGCACTACCACCAGTGGATGTTGATTGATCGAACATGAAGATTTGAGCAATTACATACCTCCGGTATACCGATCAGGATACGAGTAGCGAGAATACCACCATACGATTTTGTTACCTGTAGGTAAATGGGTCAATGAGGCACACGAATCAAATCATAAACCAGAACACACTCCAGTCAGAGTGCTAAGGAGACCCCAAGCCACCACATTAACACCAATGTATCTTTTTTAATCATGAACACGAAGAAGGAATTAGTATGCGCCGGTGTCTCATGAAATTGTGTAATTACAAAGAAGGCCTAAGAGTGTGACAAAACATCATGAACAGCCGAATGGACAGAAAATACAATGCGAAAACCTTGTTATCCAGTTCAGCATCTGGAAAACGGTTGAATCGGGTTTTTTTTGAGAGCTCGACGAGAAGTGGGACACACCATATTGGAAGGAATCTGGGCTGGACAGTAAGAGACGTATAAAATGGACAGAATGACATTGTATTGCAAGTCTGAAGGAGGCAAATGAGCATCACAGTGGTCCCAAATCTAGACATCAGCACACCTGAAAGACCAAGATCTTGTTCTAGACCTTTCAACCTCGCTGTCGTCACCGCAAGCCGCTGGGCAAATTTAATCAATCCAAATTCCGCTTTGTCTAGCAGAAAGTCTACTCACATCGATATAGTTCATAATGTATATCAAAACAACGATAGGCAGAACCCTTGTATCAAGTTTTCGGACTAGTTTCCGCTCCGCATGGAAACGTTCTGGGGTTCCCTCTGCTGGAAGGGGATCATCGTCAGCTAAAGTCATTGCCATTTTTGCATTCTCATCCATCACGATCTCCGCCTTGTCGTTGCTTGAGGACGTAGAAATCATCTTGGAGGAAGAATCGAAGAAAGGCAAGAGTCAATGCTGGCCGATTTTAAGACCATGCGGCTTTTGTCTTCCGCTGAGGGCCATTACCAAGAGGTCACAAGGAAGGACTAGAAGAGGAGTCCACGGCAAAGTCTATGGATAGAACGTACTGGAAGATGCATTATATCAGCTGAGACTGGGAGGTGAGAGAAACAAAGCAAACAAAGAGTAATGAATACAGATGGGAAGCGAAAAATAGAGCCATATATGACTTGCAGAGGCGATGGCGGTCCCTTGGAGCAAAAGAAAACAGGCAGGAGTCAACAAAAGGAAGCGCGTTTAGGAACGTAACACACCGCAATCCCACGAACAATCGCAAGTTTTCCAGCAGCCGGACCATTTTGCATATGCCCCTTTCCGCTCATTTTGCGATAGTCCCGAGGCGAGCGATGCAGCGTCGAGGGAGCCCAATGTGTCAAGGATGGTGTTTCCTAGCCACCTGTTGCATAGCAGAAACGCCTCCTCTCCTTATAAAAACCAGACTCCAGCTTGTCACGCTGGTAATATGGTAGTTCATAAAGACGAATGTATTGAGGTGGTAGTCTTCAAGTATTTGTTTGCATAGTAAAAGTTCCTCCTTTCTTACCTGGTCGCGAACACTGCCGAGTTCCTGCGTTGTAATTACAAAGGCGCACTCTTCTCTCGAGGCGCGATGTGAGAAATCAGCTTTCCGCTGGGCGTTTTCGAGTAACGAAGACTAATGTCACTGCGCCAGAGACCTGTTTGAGTGATTCCTTTGGGCCGTTGCGTTGTAGTCAAATAGAGTTGGGAGGCATAACGATGGAACGCAAGATTTGGGACCACTGGGGCGACAATGCCGGGATTTATTTATTTATTTTTTGAACAGTGGGGGTAGAAAGAATGTTCGAAAGCAACGTGGCGGTGGAAAGCCGCAGCAATTTTGGTTCCATCGAGAGAGAGGAGAAGCCTGAGAGGAGGCTGGCGGGCATTATATTGTCATCAATACCGGCTTTACCTGGCTGTCAATGGCTTATTCGAACAGATTTCTCTCATCTTGACCACCTTTAGGCTAGCATGTCCATAGTGTTGTACGCGTGCTTCGAAAGCGAGCTAGGCGCTGGCAGCGAATGCATCAGACACAGTCTACCAGAAATGGAATCGAGCCGTGTACGAGCGCTCAATAGGAGATTGCAATGATAAACAATAAAAAAGCAAAGTACCAGGAGTTACGAGATGGCGGGACAGAATAAATCCGGATTTGAACTGAAACCTTTCGCAGACACAAGTTCGAATCAATATGTAAAGCGAACATAGAACCCCTACGCCATATGCCCATGCGTGTAGCGCATATGTACCTGGTCACGACTGATAGAGACGACTCCAGCTCGGAGCTGGATGAAGGAAAATATTGAACAGGTTCTCCAACTCCGAGCCAAACTAATTTAGTCGAGATCGAGAACGCCGAAAGGAAGAGCTCCATACGATGGTCGTGGCCAGATTGAGACGGAAGACGTGAATTGATGAATTGTCTTGAATGTAATGGAGGCTGAACGGTCGACATTCCTCCTGCAGCTAGTACGTCTTCCGAATCCGAATCCAGCCCTCTTTTCGGTCATGATCATCAGATCACTGCACCACGGTGAGAGCCCAAGGTCCGACGTCCAGTGCCTATATATCTCTCTCTTGAAGCTTGAAGGACGACAAGCTGGTTTGGCCAGAGAAACACGGCCTGCCCAGTGCCTGACGTGGTTAGGTAGGGGTGTACACGACCGTCGACGAGGACAGTGGGTTGCGGCTTGTGGCGTGAATACACAGAGAGATCAGAAAAGACACAGCGGTGTGCAGCCAATCTCTCTCTCCGCAGCGCGTTGAGAGCGTTCGAGTGAGCGCTTGTTGAAGACCGGATTCGGGAAGTGTTAAGGGCTTTGTTGTCCTATAACAGGACTAGACGAATAAGAGGAATTTGATAAGAAGATACAGATGAGCATAGGCGCAAAAACGCGTACTTTTCCGAGTTAACGCTTCAAGTTCACCCACCTGCCTGTATTATCCACAGCTTTTCTAGAGTCTTGAGAGGGCGCGCATGATTTCCGACTTGGACTCCAACTCTATGAGAATCTGGGCAATTAATAAAGATCGATGGCATATGAAGGAGCACTGAACCACCTCGACGATTCTTCTGGCTTATCTACTCTTTCTGAAACTTCTGAACGCAGATACTATCCGTGTACGTCCTCGACCACGAAGAAGGATGCGGATTAAGCTGGGCAAGGAACAATTTGCGTTTGGGTATTCAAATGAGCGCAGATTGTTCTTGGTCGTTGGCTGGTGCATAGCTCGATAAGGAGGCTTGAGGTGAAACGATTCCATCAACAGAGCTTGTGGTACGAGGCGTTGTCCTTTGGGATGAGAAAATAGAGATCGTGCTTGAGCCATTGATAAACTGTGGTTAATACTTGAAATTGCGACACATTTGAGACGCACACTAGCTCGACGTACCATTACAACCAAGTATCGTAAACGATTATCCAGCGGTGAGAAATCGGTCTTGGATGAAGAGATTCAAAGAGATGGAAGAAAGCAACCATCGGTCCAACACACGCCGTATCTTATAATTATTTCGGAGGTTGCCATATCTGCGAGTTAACCTGGTCTGTAACTAATCATTGTCAATCAAGAATTATTGAATTATTGAATCACATCCGGTGTATATTCCAAATCCAAATATACCAAAAAAAAAAAATTCGAGAGCATCTTTGATGGACAAATCCGGATTTGAACCGGAGACCTTTCGCATGCAGAAGATTTGATATACGATGCAAAGCGAACGTGATAACCCCTACACCATATGCCCATGAAAGAGTAAATCATGGATTCAATATGAGTATTACTATTTGTATGCTCTGAGGCGAACTACTATGGAGAATATATTTTATGCTTCTCGCTCGCTTTATACCTTCAAGCCTATCCGACGCACTATACACCAGTGATCATTGCTTCAACGGATCCGGTATGTGGCGGGACCAGGAGATGAAACGGTACAAGTACGGTGGAAGATACCTTCACCGTGGATGCGGGAGGAAGTTGGGGCATGGTCGGGACGATACGGCAACAATGAGAGATGGCATGCGACAAAGGATCCGAGTCTGTAAATGAATGTACAGCAGGACGACAAGATGTTAGAATGTCCTGCGCTTCAGCACTTCCGACTCCGGCTAGATTGATTGACTTCAGATTTGCAAATTGGTCAGACAACTAGGGGGAACAGAGTAACACTTACCAAGATTTCTGATGCGTATATATATGTATACCATCGTACACTCCCTATACCCCTACTCTCATGTGTGGAACTACCTCCATTTCTGCGGAACGTCCAGAAGGCAACCCATCTGCAATTCCAGATTGCGTTCCTTCGGACCCAATCTCCCAGAGCGCATACGCTCTAGCACACAAACACCTCCCTCCTGCGATCCTGAACCACTGTCTGCGCGTATGGATTTATGCTCAAATCCTCAACGAGCACTCGGAAAGAAAGATTCTTCCTAATCGCCTCTCACTTCTTTTCACCGCTTGCATGATCCATGACATCGGCGCAACGCCTGCTTTCGCCAATCTCAACGCAAACAAGCTGCAGCGTTTCGAGATTGAAGGCGCAGACGCTGCAGTGGCTCTCCTAAAAGAAGCAAATTGCGGACCCACCCATCTTGGAGAGGGAATTAGACGAAGTTTGGAGTGCTATTGCGTTACACAATACTCCGCAAATCCCAGAACGGATGAAGGGGATGGTACGGATTGTGAGAGTTGCTGTTTTCGCTGACTTTGGGGGAGACGGCGATGGGAGATTGAAGGAAGGGTTGAAGGAGGAGATCGAGAGTAAATTTCCGAGACTGGGGATTGAAAAGGTGCTCGGGGATGCTGTTGTTGCACAGGCACTGGAGAGTCGCATGCCCGAGAAGAAGGCACCGGCAGCGAGTTGGCCTAGTGATTTGCTGAGGGCACATCGAGAGGATCCAGAGTGGGAAGGAGTGAACAAGGCGTTTTAAGATGCGTAGTAGCACTAATCGTTATAACTAGGAATGAGGAATATAGTATCTGAGCAGAGATTGAGCTATAGTAGTCACTGTGACCTTATACCTTTCGAACGTCCTTGGCGCGTGCGCGTAATCCACAATAATGCCACGGAGCTCAGTTCGGAGTAATCGCAGAGAAAGGAGAAAAGTCGAGATCGGTGTGAGAGCTGGTAGTTCTTTGGAATGCAGTGTATCGCGGTCGAAGAGAAGGAAGAGAAGAAACGGACCGCGTCGACCGCCCAGACGCGTCTTGCGCTTTCGCGTATAAGGCTCTTGATAGCTGCAAGCACTGCCTTTTCTATCTCTCTGTCGCAGTTTTCCAACCTCTTGACTCGACGCCTTCCTCGCACGTCGATTCTCCGGACGTTTAAAGTTCTTTTTTCAATCTGTGCCAACTGCCAAACATCCTTTTAGTCGCATCTATATATTCTAGTTATTCATTCTCTACAAACAGTACATGTCTCGAACACGGATACTAGACCTTGTTCTCTAGCCGACACCACTGTATCAATGCCTTATCCGAATCGTTCTCAGTGATATTTCTTCGTTGAGAATTCCTCTGGCGACGTTTACTGCAGCTCTGCATGCTGAAATTTGAACGCAGGGCTCAAGGGGTCAGAGGACGAAGTAGATAGGAGGTGAAATCATTGCGAGGTGTCAAGTATGTACAGTAGGATGTATAGTTCAGTGTCAAGTGTATATGTACAGCTCAGCATGGGCATTAACTCTTTTCTTTATCACTTGCCTACGAGCAGCGCTCTTCCGGATCTTCCTCCGCCGCCTCTCCTAAAATCTGTCCGCCTCCTCTTCCCCAACCGCTGATTCAACAACTCTGAGCGACCAGTAATGATTACGTCGATGAAAAGATCAATGTAATCGAAGCTAGAGTCGGGCTCCCATGCAGATTCTTCAGAAGATCTTTTCTGTATCTTCAACGCCCGGTATCTAACCAGCTCCTCTCCACTGTTCAAAGAATTTCTCCAGTTGGCGTCATATGGGAGTCGGTTGATATTCTCTTGGCTCATAGAGTCTGATAAACAGAAATGAGCGATTGACAACTATAGTCTGGAAAAAAGGCTTACAAGTTCTGAAATAGACCTCACGATCAAAACCTGGGTCAGAGCTAAACATCAGATCCAAGATCGGCAATTCGTTCTTGTTCCTCGTCGCGCCCGGATCAAATTCATCCAACGCCTCCTTGACTAGTTTCTTACCCTCACCGCTCTTCAGACTCAAAAAGGCTTCGAGATATGTCCAAATATCATCTACCTTGAATACGCCCACTCTAACGACTTTGAATCTATCCATCATCTTCTTCGAATGGGGGACGTATTCAACGTCTTTAAAGACAATGTGAGTTCGGGATCGGGAAGGATCACGTTGCAGACCAAGTGCATGGACAAGGCATACACTGTTTGCTGGGACAGGGGCGGCTCTCCATGTCCGCCAGTCTTCAGCCCGCCTCGCCTTGCCCGGTTCCATGTTAGCAATTTCCTTCAACGAGGCTGCATCTTCTCTAATGAGATCAACAAGAATCAGTGAAGTAGAAAAACTACAGAACACGGTCCTTACTTGCAAGAAGCCCTAAATTTTCGATTATATGAGCGAAAACATGTTGATCCACCGTAGGTGAAAACTCACTTGTGATATTGATAATTAGCAAGCTGGCATTTCTTAGAGCTGTGTTCGTGCATCTATAAGTGACTTGTTGCTAAGCTTCAAAGAAGACGCTCACCAATAAAGTGTATACTTGCAGCGACTGCACTGAAATAATTTGATGAGCGGTTCACGAGCCTGGCAATTTCGACATGTTCTAGTTCCGCGAAGGACGGTTTTTATCGATTGGCGACGATTCACCAACCATTTTTCTCCGCCCAACCCAGTAAGAATAGGATCCTTACTGATATCAGTGTCGGTGGTAAAAATTTCGATCAACAATCCCTCAGGTAGCTGGTGAGGATTCTTTCGTAAGCCATTTTATGAGCCATTGTTCGCTGTAGATCGCATCAGAAATTGTACAGGAGTCCATTTATATTGCTCACTGTTTCTGAGCTTCGGCATCTTCTCCCAATCTTCCAAGAACACGGGACAGGTAGATTTTTCCTACGATCAAAAATAATACGCCATTGGGCCCTTCGTCGATACCCTTGTCTCGAACGATGCGTGATAATCCTTCTTTGGCCTTTGCATCATCAGCCCTTGATCGAGCTAGAGCGATTGCATGATGGAAGAAAAGATTACTAAAGGAGAGGATTAGCAACCCAGTGCCATCAAACTTTTGAGAGACATACGGGTTTCGATACCACACGTCGACGGCCGTACCACCAATGATTTTCTGGCAATCCTGGACTGAAGCACTTAAATGTCGCAGCGCGTCCAAAGGACGATTGATTTCTGGCTTCCTAAAAGAGAAAATTGTCAAAAATTGTTCAGGTGTACGGCGACAAAGCAAGCATACAACAAATGTGCGGCTGCTTTCCATCTGGCATTTTCCAGCTGTGTATCAAGTATTAGTGCGATTACAAAGTATAGGATATAGGAAATTGAACATACAAACACATATCGAGTTTTGTTGAAAGGTACATTCCACGTTTTTTGAAACTGGTATTCAGATGCTTCCATTAATCCACGAATAGTCCACTCCAGGGCCCAGACACATTGAGAAAGAATTCCGGTAGGCACTGCAAGCATTTCTGAGTATAAATATATGTAGCACAAGCTTCGACATTACCATCTTTGACTTCACAGAATAGACTGAATTTGAAGAGATCCGGGAACTTCAATGTGTAGAGGACCCCAACGGGTACCAGTTCTCCTTCTGGAGTACGTCCCTCGATCTGAGGAGGAAGCGGCGATTGCATTAGGTTAATTGCTACATTTTGAGTCCGAGTCGTGTTCCGATTAGAAAGTTTTCTTTCAGTGGCAAGAGCTCACCTTCAGCTGCATCCACCCGCACCCGTTCAAGTTCAGGTAATTTAAACCTATTATCCAAAATCATGCCTTCCATCTTGGAGCGTAGTTGCCCACTCGCTTGGGCGAAAGTTGTTACCGACATCCTTGGAACTTGACAGAATATTCGCCGCAAATTTCGGAAGCACGCAAGACTGACAAGATTTCTTGTGTTCAATTTGCGTTGAAGGTTGCAGTTTGAGAATGAGTGGCAATAAACGCGCGGTTTGCAATCATTTCTGGGGCCGCCCAGCGCCGCTGCATGAACGATTGCTTACAGTAAATTTATTCACGAGACTCAACTCCTCTATCGAATTGCAAGATTTGCGGAAGAAGCTTCGGTTCTGCTTTCGATCCGGAGTAAAACATATAAGAGTCGAACAAAAGGAAACTTCACATATTGACATGGATTCCTCATTCACCACAGCTGTACTGTAGACAACCTATCATTCTGACATGAGGAATAGGTTAATGCTTGTTCATCTCGATGCTAACATCAATATAGACGCGTTAAGGCATACACTATGGCGTACGACATCGACTATACCATTGGAGGCGCAAGCAGAGTAGAAAAGGTCCCATCGCCATTTCGGCGACATGAACGGAAGCCGAGCAAACATAAATGACTTGCACAAAAATGTAGATCTAGAGGTGTACTTCTTCGTTAGAAAAAGCCTGAGTTTCACTATTGGGCTTTGAAATACGAATCCGAGTCAGTCTCGGATACAAGCACCACAATGCTATGACCAATTTCAAGGTCCAGCATCAAGTCAACGGAAAAAACCCCTACATCCGAGTCCAATACCCAATAGACAAGAATCGTACAGCGAACTAG